TTACAATATCTCTTCAGATAAGCAAAATAAAACAAGTTTTGTAAATTTTACATATTGAACGATTATTTTCTGATGGGAAAGAGTTTTAGGCTCAAAACACAATAAAATCGTTGTTTTTGTTTTAATATAGAGCATTTACACCACTAATTTAAAAATCAAACTGTGCGTTTGGGAGATAAACGAAATATTTTTAATTAACCTGCACATCAAAACCAAATTTTTTTTTGTTTGATCCAAGTGACTGTTTAAGTTAAAACCAACTAAAATTATGTATTTTAAATTAGATTATCATAATAAAACATCTGCATTTACAATATCTCTTCAGATAAGCAAAATAAAACAAGTTTTGTAAATTTTACATATTGAACGATTATTTTCTGATGGGAAAGAGTTTTAGGCTCAAAACACAATAAAATCGTTGTTTTTGTTTTAATATAGAGCATTTACACCACTAATTTAAAAATCAAACTGTGCGTTTGGGAGATAAACGAAATATTTTTAATTAACCTGCACATCAAAACCAAATTTTTTTTTGTTTGATCCAAGTGACTGTTTAAGTTAAAACCAACTAAAATTATGTATTTTAAATTAGATTATCATAATAAAACATCTGCATTTACAATATCTCTTCAGATAAGCAAAATAAAACAAGTTTTGTAAATTTTACATATTGAACGATTATTTTCTGATGGGAAAGAGTTTTAGGCTCAAAACACAATAAAATCGTTGTTTTTGTTTTAATATAGAGCATTTACACCACTAATTTAAAAATCAAACTGTGCGTTTGGGAGATAAACGAAATATTTTTAATTAACCTGCACATCAAAACCAAATTTTTTTTTGTTTGATCCAAGTGACTGTTTAAGTTAAAACCAACTAAAATTATGTATTTTAAATTAGATTATCATAATAAAACATCTGCATTTACAATATCTCTTCAGATAAGCAAAATAAAACAAGTTTTGTAAATTTTACATATTGAACGATTATTTTCTGATGGGAAAGAGTTTTAGGCTCAAAACACAATAAAATCGTTGTTTTTGTTTTAATATAGAGCATTTACACCACTAATTTAAAAATCAAACTGTGCGTTTGGGAGATAAACGAAATATTTTTAATTAACCTGCACATCAAAACCAAATTTTTTTGTTTGATCCAAGTGACTGTTTAAGTTAAAACCAACTAAAATTATGTATTTTAAATTAGATTATCATAATAAAACATCTGCATTTACAATATCTCTTCAGATAAGCAAAATAAAACAAGTTTTGTAAATTTTACATATTGAACGATTATTTTCTGATGGGAAAGAGTTTTAGGCTCAAAACACAATAAAATCGTTGTTTTTGTTTTAATATAGAGCATTTACACCACTAATTTAAAAATCAAACTGTGCGTTTGGGAGATAAACGAAATATTTTTAATTAACCTGCACATCAAAACCAAATTTTTTTTTTGTTTGATCCAAGTGACTGTTTAAGTTAAAACCAACTAAAATTATGTATTTTAAATTAGATTATCATAATAAAACATCTGCATTTACAATATCTCTTCAGATAAGCAAAATAAAACAAGTTTTGTAAATTTTACATATTGAACGATTATTTTCTGATGGGAAAGAGTTTTAGGCTCAAAACACAATAAAATCGTTGTTTTTGTTTTAATATAGAGCATTTACACCACTAATTTAAAAATCAAACTGTGCGTTTGGGAGATAAACGAAATATTTTTAATTAACCTGCACATCAAAACCAAATTTTTTTTTGTTTGATCCAAGTGACTGTTTAAGTTAAAACCAACTAAAATTATGTATTTTAAATTAGATTATCATAATAAAACATCTGCATTTACAATATCTCTTCAGATAAGCAAAATAAAACAAGTTTTGTAAATTTTACATATTGAACGATTATTTTCTGATGGGAAAGAGTTTTAGGCTCAAAACACAATAAAATCGTTGTTTTTGTTTTAATATAGAGCATTTACACCACTAATTTAAAAATCAAACTGTGCGTTTGGGAGATAAACGAAATATTTTTAATTAACCTGCACATCAAAACCAAATTTTTTTTGTTTGATCCAAGTGACTGTTTAAGTTAAAACCAACTAAAATTATGTATTTTAAATTAGATTATCATAATAAAACATCTGCATTTACAATATCTCTTCAGATAAGCAAAATAAAACAAGTTTTGTAAATTTTACATATTGAACGATTATTTTCTGATGGGAAAGAGTTTTAGGCTCAAAACACAATAAAATCGTTGTTTTTGTTTTAATATAGAGCATTTACACCACTAATTTAACAACCAAACTGTGCGTTTGGGAGATAAACGAAATATTTTTAATTAACCTGCACATCAAAACCAAATTTTTTTTTGTTTGATCCAAGTGACTGTTTAAGTTAAAACCAACTAAAATTATGTATTTTAAATTAGATTATCATAATAAAACATCTGCATTTACAATATCTCTTCAGATAAGCAAAATAAAACAAGTTTTGTAAATTTTACATATTGAACGATTATTTTCTGATGGGAAAGAGTTTTAGGCTCAAAACACAATAAAACCGTTGTTTTTGTTTTAATATAGAGCATTTACACCACTAATTTAACAACCAAACTGTGCGTTTGGGAGATAAACGAAATATTTTTAATTAACCTGCACATCAAAACCAAATTTTTTTTTGTTTGATCCAAGTGACTGTTTAAGTTAAAACCAACTAAAATTATGTATTTTAAATTAGATTATCATAATAAAACATCTGCATTTACAATATCTCTTCAGATAAGCAAAATAAAACAAGTTTTGTAAATTTTACATATTGAACGATTATTTTCTGATGGGAAAGAGTTTTAGGCTCAAAACACAATAAAACCGTTGTTTTTGTTTTAATATAGAGCATTTACACCACTAATTTAAAAATCAAACTGTGCGTTTGGGAGATAAACGAAATATTTTTAATTAACCTGCACATCAAAATCAAATTTTTTTTGTTTGATCCAAGTGAGTAGTATGAAAATGAGAGTTCTGGATACAAAAGCTGGATACAAAAGTGGAGGGGGAGGTAATTAATTATGCTAATTAGGGTATATAAGGTAATAAATCAGGACAATGTGACAGGTGTGGGGGTAATTAAAGTTAATGGGTGCGTGACGAGTGATCGTTAATTAGGGTCCACAATAGTTATATCCAGCTTTTGTATCTAGGATTTGTATTCAGGAATCAGGAATCCCGAAATTCGGTCCAGAAATCGGGGGAGATATTACTGGGGTGTGACGGGTGATCGTAAATTAGGGTGATAAGTTGCTTATATCTAGGAATTGTATTCAGGAATTCGCTCCCCCGAATTTCGTTTAAGAAATCGGGACTCTTATTAAGCGGGAAGAAGTTACTGGGGTGTGACGGGTGATCGTAAATTAGGGTCCACAATAGTTATATCCAGCTTTTGTATCTAGGAAATGGGGTGAAAGAGGGGAGGCATTCTGCTTAAGTGGTTGACGAGTAGGTTGACGGGATCGAACGTGGGAGAAGTTAGAAAAATAGGGTGAAACGAGGGGAGGGAATCTAGTTAAGCGGGTGAGAAGTTACTGGGGTGTGGGGTGATCATAGCGTTATATTTGGGTTATCCTAGTTAATGGGGAATGTTCGGTTGTGACGGGTGATCTTAGCGATATATTTGGGTTATCCTAGTTAAACGGGGAGAAATTACTGGGGTGTGCCGGGTGTCCTTTGCTTAGATTAAGAAAGTGTGGTGCTCACACGGGTACGTGTTAGAATGTCACGGGCTGTTGTCACGTCCAAAAGAAACAGCTGAAAGCAAGCACCCTTGAAAAGGGATCCCTTTGCTTGCCACTGAGAAACAAACTCCCAAAGAAACAGCTGAAAGCAAGCACCCTTGAAAAGGGATCCCTTTGCTTGCCACTGAGAAACAAACTCCCACCCCAATAACAAAAAGAATATGTAAATTTTAAATTCAAGTATATTTATTTATTTTTTTAACTTTTTGACCTGAAAGAAATAGCTGAAAAAAATCACCCATCCCCCAAACAAAAGAAGATGTTAATTTGAATTTAGGTCATGAATTTAGCTCATGTTTATTTGGAAATTTGTAACAGGCTTTTCTTATACACTAAATATGATGACATTAGTTTTAAGGCTCCGTCTCGATGATTTTTATAGAAAAAGCAGGCACACGCATCTTCGCCGAATCCATTATTACAAAACGTAAAATGATTACCATATACCGTTTTGTTAAGATCGTCTTCTCCTTTATCCATGAACATATTCCTCGTATCAATGAGATATTTTAAAACTTCTTTAAAAATTTCCTCACCAAATTGGGATGTGAAATTATTAATTCGGTTTATTAATCCACTTTGCCTGTTATCCATTGTATATGTATAAGTGTTAGACCATAGTTCCATAGCATAAATTTAAAATATTGTGCGCATTATTCAGAGCGCAAATACCGCTTTTATATGTATTGAGCAAAATGGGAATTGGTTTATGTTTACGGTGTTTAATGGTGGGCAACCCAATTCCTCAACATCTCTTATGTGCGGTGATCTGAGAAAGATTTCTAGAAAACGTTTCTTTTCAATTCCCTTGCATAAAACCACCTTTCCCGAAGTGATTTGTTTAATATATTTTCTTGTTTGCTTAAAGTTGTTTATTCCATCGTTCCAAAAAATTTTATGATGGTTTTTGGTAAGCCAGAGAGCAGTTTTTCGGGACTTGTTATTAAGACGAGTGAAATCAAATGGAGGTTGTATAACGAAATTATTGTTAAACTTATTTTCTTTGCTAAATACAACTCCAATTTCCTTTAGAATGAACTTGTCGTTGTTATCAAAAAATCCTTGTACATCAATTGCAACTAGTTCTTTCTCCATTTTATGTGATTGATATATTGTTAGACAATTCTTTGAACTAACCCACTTAAAGGACTATACTCAACTAAACGATCGTGAATAAGGAGACAATATGCTTGAGTGTTTTCATTGTTTGCTTTTTTTCAAATCGATTGAAATTCTCACGTCGATAGGTCCCGATTTAACTGTTTCATTTTGATATGAAAGGTCAACTACAATAATAGGTTTACTTTTAAATTCTGTCGGTGATAAAAATGGTTCTGCTGGGCGGTTGTAATAACTCTTTTGAAACATTGCATACATATCATAAAGGTGGGCATATTTATCATTTTCAAAGTTTACATTTAAGTCATCATATGGATACGTTTCTGAATTCAAGTGGACTTTCAGGTTGGATAAATTATTTGTAATTAGTTCTCCATTCAACATGAAGGCTATAATAGCAAATCTCGGTCGTTCTCTATTACTTCCTATCTTTAGGCTCCAGACGTGTTGATTTCCCTGTATCAGTTTTGGGTTAATGTATGTATCCCAACTACGGAAAGCTATCGGTAAATTTACGCCACTCTTTATTATATCGTACATTTTAATTTTTGCAGCATCACTGGGTGTTACATGAGGGATTTTCCAGCTAATATTAGTCATTTCCAAAACATATGTATGGTTTGCTTTGTTTTTAACATATACATCATCCAGATTTTTTGTCAGCAAAAGTATAAGTTCATGCTTACAATTCAGTAAAACTTTTCTATAATCCTCAGCAAACCCCATTACATTTTTTAAGGGTAGCGAGAAATTAAAATTACCTTTTGTAATAATATCATTTCCACCACTCCATCCAGCATTTAAAAGTTTGCGACTATCCTGACGACTTTCCGATAGATAATTTTTAAGGGTGCTGCTCATGCCAACAAACCGTGTTCTATCAATTTCGTATCCATTTATTTCATATCTAATTTCATCAATAAAATTTGCCATACAATTATTGCGAAACGTAACCTCGATATTATCAGTGGTGCTTGTACCATCGGCTGCTACTCTCTTAACAACTCCTTGAAAATTAAGATAGCTTTCGTGAGGGAGTACATACAAGTCCTGATTTTGAATACAAATACGTATTTCATCATTTGCTTTAAATGATTGATGATACGAGGAATATGTATGATATTCCTTTTTCGAAATACTTTCATCTGAAAACGGTCTCTCACGAACATTTAAAATTTCATTCATTTTTAATGCTTCTTATTATTATTATTATCAGATTTGAATTTTGAAGCCCAGTGATTTTAAAAACAATTTGTTTTTTAATGTAAGACCCTTTCGATTTAATCCTGTTCCTTTAGCTTTACAACTGCTAGTGCGCGGTTGATGAAGTATACCGTTGCTTTTATTGTAAATTATCATTCTATTGCGCGAATATGTATGCGAATTGATACGTTTTCACCACGCAAGTTCAATAAATCTCCGTTCTGATCAACGATATGTATTGAGAGAGTACTTATTTCTCTGCAGTTAATAGGTAAATAGATGAGATTGTGTGGTGTCACAGTCATTTTATAGCCCGGTGGAACCGAAATTGCAAACTCATGTAATACGTGATTTGGTATATTATCAACGTAAGAGCCACTCACAATATTACATTCCAAACGAATGGAATTAATTTTTAAAATGTTGACAGCATTATCGGACAAGTGATTTTGGTTTGCCTTTAACACTCTTTGCTTAAAACCAAACAAATGACCTATTGACCTCTCCTTATTAAAGTATATATCTTCTTTACTGCTAATTATTTCCACTTGAAGTGTATTATTATTGCTTACAATTTTCACTGTATTTTCCAGATTATAATCCTTTAACTTGTTGTAAATAAATTGAGAAATATCGTTGAGTTCATAGGAGCCGGTGGGAATAATAATAACTTTATCACCAATATGAAAGAGGTTGTTATTTACATCCACGTTGGGAATTGAGTTGTACATGTTAAACTCAACTAGCGCACACTCATATTCCCCGTTTAATTCAATTGGTGGAAAATAAACTGTGTTTATAACGGAACTATTTCCATTCACTGATAGAGTCAATGATCTAACCATTTTGAAATCTGTTGTTCAACTGGGTGTCATACAACCCCGCCCCAATCTTATATTAAAATTAAAGAAGAATAAATTGGTCAAATCCTTTTCTATATCGTCCCTTATCAATATTGTCATCCTTACTTATAAATAAAAATCCATATTTATCCTCCCAACATTTTTGACAAATTTTTGTAAATGTCTCATAATTCATGTCAGGGATGATATGATCCCGAAATATGTATCGCATATTTAAATCATCCTGTTTAAACATAATAATTACATTTGCATTGTCCCGTATAAGATGTTTTGGTATCCGTGTATATGTTTGACATAAATAAAAAGAATCAATATTTTTGTGACGACCCATACAGAAATATGATCGAATATTATCTTGTTTCTCACAAGCCACATCGTCGAAAATCATGATTGAATTATTTTTTGCTTCGGTGGGTGGTAAAACAGTTTCGTTCTGAGAGAATGTATGATATCCCATACCTTTAATCGGTTTAAATAGCTTTTCCAAGTAATCATATTTCGGTTGGTATAGACTCTTTGAAAACACGTATATATTTTCAAATCTCAAGCCATTTGGACTCTCAATAAGACTGATCATTACATTAGTTTTCCCGCAGTTGGATGGACCAACCACAAGAGCTCTAATTGTGTTTGGTAATAATTCACTGTGACGTGGTGGTTGTTTAACATTATTCACGTTCTCAATGTTACGAACAATAATGTTATTTTTTTGCTTTATTAATCGCATCCTATTATAAATATGTTTATTCCGTGATAAATCTTCAATGAATAAAGACAATATATAATGGGGAAACGTTTTTATAATCACATCAGTCATTATTTACACCGTAAACGTGGAAGTGGTCTTATTAATAAGTTAATAGATTCTCTTCCGATTGAGTTTCACATTCCTGGATATAACTATTGTGGACCCGGTACAAAGCTTGCAGAGCGATTACAGCGTGGAGATCACGGAATTAATCAGTTGGATGAAGCTTGCAAGGTTCACGATATTGCCTATTCACAAAACAAGGATCTAAGCAATCGACATAAGGCAGATTCTGAATTAATTAACAAGGCTTGGGAGCGAGTAAAGGCGAAGGATAGTTCTCTTAAGGAGCGAGCAGCAGCATATTTTGTAACTAATATTATGAAAGCAAAGAAACATTTTGGAATGGGTGTTCGGAAGCGAAATAAGAAAAAACAGAAGAAGAGGAAGCGTAGGAGGATGAAAATAAATAGACTATCATCTGTTGTAAGAGAAGCGAGTCGGGAATTGAAAAAACGAAAACCCCTGGATGTGGTTAATGCAATTAAAATTGCACGTAAAGCAATTCATAATTCAATCGGATCTAAGAAAAACGTTAAAGTTCCTCGAATAATAAATGTTCCCAAAATGGGGGGTTTTTTACCACTGGTACCCATCTTAACTGCATTAAGTGCTATAGGTAGTTTAGCTTCAGGAACTTCTAGTGTAGCAAAATTAATAACAAACGCAAAAATTGCTAAGCAACAGCTAGAAGAAAATAAAAGACACAACCGAAAGATGGAAGAAGTTTCCGTGGGTGAAGGTCTATACTTAAAACCCCATAAAAATGGTTACGGCTTATACCTAAAACCATACAACAGTCGTGGTGGGAGAATGAAGAAACAAAAAAACTAATTGGTCAGCTACCCAAAAGAGCATTATCAAATATAGATATAATGGAATTTGCTCAAAGAAATATACCGCATTTTAGGGGAGTGTTTATGAGAGACTCTCTCCCTAAAACACCTAAAAATAATGAGAGTGGAGTGATTAACTTGGGTGTCTCGAAATCAAGGGGTACACATTGGGTAGCTTACCACAAAAACAAAAACAGCATATTCTATTTTGATAGTTTTGGAAATTTACAACCACCAAAAGAAATTGTGAAATACTTAGGGGATGATATCAAATATAACTATGAACAGGTACAACGTTTTGGAACATACAATTGTGGACACCTGTGCATTAAATTCCTGCTTTCATTCAAATAAAGTAACTGATTTAATGACTTGTAAACAACAAGGGTGGAAAACAATAAGGGTGGAAAAACAACAACCTGTTGCTATGGAAATCTCGGTCTGAGAACTGGTAAAAAATGAGCTCGGAAATCGTTTAATCTTTACAGTCAGAACTTTAGCATTAACTTTTCAAGTCGATCAGCTTGCTTCTCACTTAAACCACCTTCTTCGAGGACAAACTTCAAACCAACAACAACATCATGAATCAACCAATTCCATCAGAAAGTGAGCTGGACGCCATTATGGAGGAGGAAATTCTTCGAGGCGGGGTTTTAAAGGAGTTCAACACGCGAGCATTGAAGCCCTTGCTATCACAAAACAAGATGGGTATAAACGTCAGCTACCCAATTATCAATGCGCAGAGGAAGAAAACTGTTTATGGGGACTCCATTGCCTTGGAACTGGATAAATATATTCTATATCTACCTAAGAGATATAACACTATGAAAGATGGTCATCTGAAGTTGCTCAAGGACAAGGAATATCGAGTTATAAAAAGAAGCAATGATTCCCTGCAACTAGAGTTAAATACAATTGTTTAATCCACTTATCACTTTGTAATATTTATAACATTTGTACATAATCATTTATTATATTCAATAAAACATGCACACACACACACACCCACATTAAATTCTTTTATTTGAAGAGGAAATGTAAACAATGTAAAATGATTCTTTTTCAGCCAAAAATAAAATCATATAAATAATATATATATTTTATAACTTTCATTAGTATGAAATGTAACCCTGTAAAGTATAGTTCATAAACTGGTATTACATCTTTTGTGCTGACGGTGGTGAAAGTTTTGAAAGTACCCAAAATGAGTCAATTTATTTTAAGTCAGCTTACTAAAACGAGAAATATATTAAAGAAAAAGTTTAATGATCTAAAACATTTTAAATCACAAAATGCTTACGAGTTGGAAGAAACTTTTAAGCCAATAACAGATCCCTTAAACGAACTAGTTAGTGAAAATAAAAAACGAAAGTTTATGAATACAAACGAAGATAAATCAACGGTTCTAAAGCAAAAAAGTGAAATATTTAAAAATGAAACCCCCAGTAAAAAGCTTAAGAAACATCAATTAAGGTATGATGACGATGATGATCATGATTACGATTATGATGATAATAATAGCCGAAATGAAGAAACAAAAATTTATAATGATGATGTTACTAGTGACTCAGATGATAAATTTTTTTCACAGTCACATATTGAATTGGGATCAGAGCCGGAAACACCGCTAGAAACACCTTTAGAAACACAGCTAGAAAAAGAAGCAGATGCTAGCAGTCTAATTCATGCAGACTATGATTTTAATATTAGCAGTCTATCGAGAAATAAAGTTCTGGACAATGCTTATGGACCTAGAAAAAGTTCATCAACCCCCAAATCCTTAAATTTGGGGAATAGTGAATTACATATAAGTCATAATAAAATTCAATTATCAAGTGGAAGCACGTGGGATTTGACTCCTGGGCTTTATTCTCTGATTGTTCATAATAAACCCACACAATTCAGTGCCACAGACTTGAAAAATTATAAAGATATCATTACTGAGACAAGTGCACATAGAATAGATTTTGATCCAAATAAGCGAATAAAAGGAAACATTATTAAAATGTTCATGAGCAATGAAAATATACCTCCTTCAGCTATATCCACCCCAATTCGATCAAAACAAAAAAAATCAAATAAAAAGGGACTTGGATACATGACCCTACAACGAGAAAAACCCAATTATATTTATTGGGATGACGTCAATGAATTAGTTGAAAGATTGCAGCTTTTAATAGCTTCAAAGGCCGCTGGCAACACTAATCACAATAACGAGATCATGTCTATAATAGAAGAACTGCGAGAGGCTAAAATTATATATTAATTGAATAAATAAGGTTCACAAACTTTAAATTACCTTATAAACAAAATGTCTGTCGACAAGTTTGGTCACTTTTCAGACGAAAAAGAGCACACAGATATTTTAAAAAGGGATATTAAAACTGTTGTGGGGTTGTACATTGATGGCGACGAAAACCTGAATACCCAACAGAAACGAATTAAAAATTGTGGGAACCCAATAGATTATTCGGATGCAACGACGAAAAAATATGTCGATGAAAACTTGGAGACGTTAAAGAAAGACCTTAATACGAAAATAAATACATCCCTTAATCGAAGACTTTCTAAAATAACTTCTTTGGAAAATTTAGTTCAAGTTAATAATGGGAGGGTTGATAATGTTGATAAAATCCTATCCAATATGTTAACAAAGATTAATAGTATTGAGAGCTATGTTTATAAATATGTTACTCAACCGAAATCAGT